GATTGAATGCATTTGAGGGAGACTATTTTTTTAAAGTATATCACATTTGTTTTACATATCTCTCAAGGTCATAATCAATAGATAAAAAGTTCTAATTTTGAAAACAAAGTTATCACACCATCGAAGATTTGAGAGATCTTAAAAAGGAATCTCACAAATTTACATAACATCAATTTCTGAATCATGGTAAATTTGGCTTTAGTCTCAAGAGCTGAGGGGTTCTACAATTTGGCTCTGAGGTTTTACTGAATTAACTGAAAATTGTTCCAATTTTGGAACCAAAAAGTCTCCAAAATATAAGAGCATTTACGCGCGACTTAGTAATGAGTTAAGAAAAAAAATCGTCTTTTGGAACATTTTTCATAACATTGAACTTCTGAAAGGCATCATGGGAAGTGAAAATTTGTGAGGCAAGCTAAATTTGGTTATACTCAACAATTAGGCTCTGAAGTTTTTTCTTAATTTATCTTGAAATGATTATTAGACCATCATTTTTAAAGATCTAATGAAAAGTTTTTTTAAAAACATTGAGAAATAGCCTTTTTTTTACGATCTTATTTAATTTTTTTCTCAGCTTTATGAGCTGTATAAATTTGACAGCTAACCTCTGTGGTATCATTGAATCAGTAGGAAAGTTCTGATTTTGAAGAGAGCAAAAGACTGACTTCAGTTTATAGCTTCAAGAGCAAATAGACGAGACTTCAGCTCAAATGAAATAAGCAAAACAGTTCTAAATTTATAGATAAAGCCCCTAATACGAAAACACCAGGATATTTAACTTATCAGACATGAAAAACAAAGAAAACTACCAACAAATTTGGGAAATATATATAGGTTTTAGAGCATATTAAATTTGGTTTTGGATATAACTTCCAGATCTCGAACATTTGACAATTAGGCCCAGAAGCTTGGACATATTATTAAGAAAAGGTTCCAAGGCTTTTTCTGATTTGGGAAAAAATTTTTCTGTAACAGAACATGCTGAATATCAAACCTACTGGACGTCTAAAAGTTCTGATTTTGTAAAAGCAATGTATTTAAGACATTTGGAAAAAAGTAATTTCTTAAATGAAAAACCCTTTTTCATAGTTATCAGAGAACAAAACTCATCAGAACACTGAAAAAAAAACAAGAGACAAACAAAATTTTAGAAATATCAATGAGAAGCATTTTGGACCTGGTTGGCTTTCTTACATCTCTTTTGAAATCACTCGTGATTCCTGCAATCTTATTGGCTCTAACTGGTGCGATTTATTCAAATCTCATCATATGCTCTAACTAAACCGCACCTTTTTCTCAGCTAACGAGACAGCTTTATAACTAAAACACAACAACCTATCAAATTTCAAGACTTGTTTAAAGAGACCAATCAAATTACAGGAAAGACAATTTTTGCAACTATACACAAACAAGCTCAATATACTGAATCAATATAATGAACTGTATTTGAGCGACTTTGCGATTTTGGCTTGAAACAGGAGATTATGAAATTGTAATATCTTGCTGTCCTTAGGGCCTACAGAGATGACAAGTGGGCTTCAAATATTTCAATGATTGAGGAAAAGATTTCACTCCTAAAAAAAAGTTATTCAAGCATAAAATTATAAGAAATCTAAATAAAATTCAAGAAAAAAAGTTGATAAATATCAATCTTAGAATTGTACTGAAATGTGGTCTTAATTTAGCCTAAGGAGCTAAGACACTGAGAATTAGGCTCCAACGTGTTTATTAAATTGAAGTCAAGAATTTCATGCATCATGCACTAAAACGTATCAAAGTTCTCAGAAAGAATTCTTGATAATCACAGTGCCGATTTGTTACGTACAATTCCTTTCTTCGTCTCTCGATTTCCTTCATTTTGACTTAGTTAATTTTGAATTGCAGACATTTTGAAAAATCTATGTTTGAGCGTTCAATACAGACTACACATAGGGAACAGTTATAATTTATCGCCTAAAGGGGGTGGGTCCGGGTCGGAGGATTTTGAAAGGATCGCAAGGTACTCGGGGGGGAACGGAGGGGAATCAGTCATCGCCAACAGAGTATAAAGGGGGGAATACAAAAAATTGACTGTCAATCAACTGCTAATGAGAGGGTGGGGGAGGGGCATGAGAAAATTACAAAGCCTTATGGGGGTGATCACGAAAATTTTTTTGTGACACAAACGATAATAATTATAGAGAATCACCAACTTTGTCAGAAGGTTTCCTGATTTCCATTCCTCCAGTGAATTTCTTTATGAGGTGTTATTAACTTTTACTTGACGCTGTCTTGAAGGTAGAGAGGAAAAGAGAAATACATTTGAAAACGTGTAACCAATCTCTGGGTAGAGATACTCTCTTCATTTTTTATTCAACTTAGTTTGAAAGTGCAAACAAAACAAAACAAATTAAAACGCAAATCAGGTTTACGAGATCAGATAAATAAATTTGTTGTAAACAATTATACAGATACTCTTCATTTTTTATTCAACTTAGTTTGAAAGTGCAAACAAAACAAAACAAAACAAATGAAAACGTAGATCAGGTTTACGAGATCAGATAAGTAAATTTGCTGTAAAACGACCTGTGAAATTAAATAACTAACCTCATTTGATGAAATCCTTTTCTCTTTCCTGTCTTGCAGTCTTTAAGACCAGAGTTTTCTTCATTCCATGCCTGCCGCTGTCCGAGAGAGAAAGAGCGAGAAAAAATATATGTGAAGATCACAAGCATATCAGGGACCCTTGGAATGACTGGTTACTAATTTCTCCTTACAATATCACAGCGAAATCACACATTGAGGTTATGAGAATAAAGGAAATGATCACCAACCAACTTAAGCTTTTGACTGTTAAACAAATTCTCCTTTCTAGCAACTTAGGAAATGTACAGAGAACAGTATGGAGAATATGCATACTGATGTTAGTGTGTAAAGGGTTATTCAAGGGTTATTACCCTTGAATAATGTTGCAACATCTTGATTGTTAGAACAAATTCTCCTTGTAAGCACCATAGGAAATGTATAGAGAACAGTATGGATAATATGTACGTGTATGCTCATGTTGGGGTGTAAAGGGTAAATCGATCGACAGTCCGGTCTGATTTATCCAGAGTTACACTATGAAGGAAAAAACCCGTTTCAAGAAAATTCAAATGGTATGACAATAAATGTGGAAATAGGAAAAAAACCCAAAAAATTGAGTAGTAAACGAGGATCAATTATAACAATAGAGAACGAATTACTCGTCGTTACCCTGAAGGTCACGTGGTTCAATAGGAACTGTCATGGCGGTTGCCATTTTGGTTTTTTCTTGTGTGTAACATGCTATTGCATTTTAAACGTAAACGATTTTCACCTTAAAAAGTACTATGAATACTTTATCTCTATCAAATATGCTTTATACGTAGGTTATTCACCTTCAGAAAAGTCGTTACAAAATGACATCCATCATTCCTTGTTGTCTCATTCGAACCAATCGATCTGGCAACCTCGTGGAAACACACGACGGCCTTGAATAATTTCCAATATACAAATGAAGTAATAAAGTAAGAATTCTGTATTTCTTAGTCCAAGAGTAGCGAAAAAGAGACGCTTAAATTTCTTGTAGTTCGTGAGCTCTTTCCACGTGCAAGACTGATCTGAAATATGAATATTAATTAAAAAAATCATTTGAAATTTAAATGAACTTTCCGACTTTGATAAGCGGACCGAAAATTAACGACCGAAAAAACTCTTCGGTTCACTTTTGTTCAAAAGTAGAACGAAACGGTATGAGATCTATGGGATGATTTTTAACCTGTTTGACAATGGCGAGGTTCAGCCATCTTATCGTTGTAAGAATAAAAAAAAACTTACTTGAGTTTACATAAACTCAAACTTTTTCCCTCGCATACCTTTTTTCAATCATTTTCTTTTAAACCATCGATCAGTACAAGTGACTAGCATCTAATTTCTCCTTACAATATCTCATGGAAATCGCACATTAAGGTCATGAGAATGAAGGAAATGATCACCAACCAACTTAAAGCTCTTGACTGTTAAACAAATTCTCCTTGTCAGAAATTTAGGAATTGTACAGAGAACAGTATGGAGAATATGCATACCGATGATAGCGTGAAAAGGGTCAAGGCCTGCATGAGTCTTGCAGTTCTTTAATTAAATTTTTATGCCCTCGTACCAGATGGACCCATTTTTCTTAAGTTCTGATTGCTCGTTTTGATAACTTTGATTTTAGCGCAGCAACCCTCAATCGAAATGCGCTCCATTTTATAGAACACTCGGTTAGGGTTATGACTTAAGGCTTGTAATCAAAGTCGCATCATGGAGGTTCGACAAATTTTTCTTCCTATGCCTGCTAACGCAGATAATTTATTTTCCCATGATGCATCTGGGCATCGAACCTCAAGAAATTTTCAAAAGTATACCGCTGGATTCAACAACGAGATCAGGGCCATCACCAATTTTGTATGTTTGGTGAATGTTCCATTCATTTCCTGAGGTGATGACAATAATTTGATGATAGTTAAACATTAAGAGCTTCTTTAGTTCGTGATCTTTTCCTTTATTCTTGCGACCTAAGTGTTTGATTCAGGGTTGACATTGTAAGGAGAAATTGGATGCCAATCACTCATAGGGGTCAGAGGGTTAAAGGATTTGTCGCCTCACTGATGGGAAAACGGTCACTGCAAGATCATATTAAAATATGTTTAACCCTTTAACTCACAGAAGTGATTCATATGAAACTTTTGCCTGTGATATTCATACATTATCCAGCAAACAGGTAATAAGAATACTCAAACTCATCAGGTAGAAGTCTACATCCTGATCTTACACAAGATTCTTTATTTAATTTACAAGGAAATATGTACCATCTAGAGGGGAGAATTAACAATCACACCTCGTGAGTTAAACGGTTGAGGGAGAATGCACAAATGGCGTTCGCCAGATAACGATCTTCATCATTTCATTTCCTAATGCCTCTGGTGATGAAAAAGACAACAAAACACAAGACAGAAATATTGTGCAATGTAAAACAAATTAGGTTTATTCTTCATTCTCGTTTAGCTAATACAGGGAAAACCATTAAAAGATAAATGGCAAGGTTGTAAGGGAATGGTACAGCTGATAGATATCAATAGCTATCTACGTGGAGAAAATACACACGAGAAACTAGGAAAACATGGGCTAAATGGTAACAACATGAACAGCTGAGTTTAATATAGAGAATGCTGCGTTAAGCTATCATTGTAAGGACTACTTCAGAGCCAACTTATTTCTAAAGCAGTGGTTCACCCAAGGGATAAAATCCAGAGAGGGGAGGTGCTGGATAAGTGTGAGATTGATCCCACAACTCCCCTCCCTTCAATTGATGGGACCCCTTTGAGCACCTAACTGACACACCCCTCTAGCCTCTGGCTGGGGCTTTCCCAGTAGAATGGTAGAAAGTCACCAGTAGATGGAGGAGAATGGGTAGGGGAGAGGGGGATCTCACAACTTCCCTCATTCAATCAGAGGTACCCTTGTGAACAAACAACCAGCACACCCCTCAGTGCTCGCACTGCTCAAACCTGGCTGAAGACTAGTAATTACTTACATATACACAAGAAAGTGTCCAGTACTACAGATGGTTTCCTTACTTAACTCTCTTTATCAACTCCACATACGGCAGGGAATTGGAATATCCCAGGCCAAGTTTTAAGATACCATTTCGTTTTCATAATCTAATCCTTTTTTGTGCCATTTTGCCAGTAACGAGTTTATTACAAAGCAACTAAATCATCAACATATTTCTCTAGGCAGTGTTTGCCAAGTAACTGAGGACAAGAAACCATTTCATAGAAGGATTTAAGGAGTTCAGATTCAATCCTTTGTCACACATATCACAAAATGAAAGGTTACACTGAGAACATGACATAAATCAATTATACCACAAGAGTAACCTTTGTACTACAAGTTTTTTTTAAAGACTAATAACTTCTTGTCAAATGACTTTTGTCAAGCTACATGTACAAAATGCAAAGTGATCATGAGAATCATCTACAAATTACTTTACTTACTAATATTACATTCACCAGAGTCCCAGACTCTGCCATTCCTCTCCAAAAAAAATTGCCTGACTAAATGCTTGACAAGCTTTCAAAACCCAAAACCCAAAAAATGTACTGCCACACTTCAATCTTGCATACTCATCCTAAAAAACACTACATGAAACCACACATGGTGATCTTTCTTTAGAGGGCACTACTCTACCAAGCAATGTCACAGACTGCACAGAATCCACATCTGGTAAACTTATGAAAATAGTGTGAGGTGTGCAAAGGGAGCTACCTTAAATAATTTGAGTGACCATGTTGCAAGGTATTGCAACAAGTGTCAAACATGGCTGAGGTGTGAGTTCTAATATTCAGAGTTGGCTTTCTTTTTTTTTTTTTTTCTTTTCTCTTCTCCTTCCTTAGTTGAATGCTTGATGAAACGAGTATCCTCGAGTAGCAGGAGCAGAGTAAGATTAAGTTAATTGTAGGAAATCAATTTGCCTTTGCCTTGTAATTAAGTTCTGTGTTAGATATGGTTGTTTTACTTCCAGAGTTTCTTGATTGACATGTTCTTCTCGGAATCTTTCTGCATGACCTGGATAGTGAATATGAATGGTAAAGATTAATTCCACAATTGAATCATTTTCATCAAACGCTTTAAGGTAAAGTCTGAACTCACGCCAAGTGGCTAATCCAGCTGGAGATTATGCCTTTGCATGAAGAGACTAGGAGTATCACTACTCCCTACCCTCCCCCCCCTCCTCCCCCCTTCTAGGGAAGCTATTCCTTCCTGGGTTGCCCCACAACATATCATCAGGTCTGCCTAACAACTTACCTGTACCCATTTATACTCCTGGATGGAGACAGACCCTGTCAGAGTTACACTGTCAGTGTTTTGCCCAAGAACACAACACGAAGACCCAGCCAGGTCTCACATTTAGACCTTGACCCAGAGTCTAGCTCACTAACCACTAGGTTAATGCATTAACAACCATCAAATTCTTAGCTCATCAAAATTTGAAATATGATGAACACACTTACCTTAGTGACAGCCATTTCAAAGTCTTCCTGCGTCACATGAACTCTTCTTTCTCTCAAGGCATACATGCCTGCCTCTGTACAAACACCCTGTAAACAAAGACAATCATGATTCAAAACAGGTTCAAACTGTACACCACTCAGTATTTACAACTATATTTCACTGTAAGTGTGCTACACAACTTTGATATAGTAAATGGTTTGAACCCGGGGGTAACATGTGATACTGTAGTCTGATTGTCCGCATGAGTGTAGTCATGAGAAGGACTGTCATTGGTAGTGGTGACTGATGTTTCAACAACCTGAGCAGAAGTCTTTCCACTCTGACAATGACTTCCACTCAGGTTGTAGAGACATAAGTCACCACAACTGAGAACAGTCCTTCTCAGAACTACACTCACCCAAACAATCAGACTACACCAACACTTAACTTAAAATGTTTCCTACACTGATTTAAGCATTCAAAACTTGCATAACTTTGTGGTTACAACAATTCAGCTGAAAATGCTGCTACTGTGAAAATGTGTTGAATAGTTCTTGCAATATAATTGAGAAACTACAAGCAGCCACACAGGTTGAAAACCTATCATCTATAGCAATGGTAAAACCAAAGGAAAATGAAACAATTTTTAGTTCATTTCAACTTAATTCTTGCGTGGGCTATTATATTGGTAAACTGAGAGAAAAAGCAGCCTATTACTCAAATAACAGATGTTTCAGGTTAGCTAGCATGCACTTAATTTAACTTTAAATTGAGGCAAAAACTCCTCATTCAAGTTCCTATAACTGGTACTTAAGCTAATTATCTAGATTGAATGTGCATAGCACAAGTTTCATTAACTGTAGAACCATTTCAAACCTTGACTTCAGCTCCTGATGATCCAGGCATAAGTTCAGCAATTTTTCTAAGGTTTATGCCTCTTGTTAGATTCATCTTTCTGGAATGAATCTTCAGGATGTCCAGTCTAGCCTGTAGGGCAATAACAAATCAGTATTAAATTCAAGTTGTATTAGTTGGTCAGCTTGATTGGTTGTACACTCTTGTGAAACAACTTACAAGTAAAATTGTGGCAAAATGACTGTATTTAGTCAATTGAGCACCCAACCTCGATAGAGAGCCCACCTTGAATAAGTACCAATGTTGTGGGTAGGAAATGTCAATAATCACTCAGCCTCAAAGCAGCAAACCCTTTAACTCCCAGATCGAATTTGAAATTCTTCTTACTGTCAGCCATACAATTCTCATAATGTTAGTTCAGAGAAGTTAGTATTGGATCAACTAATTATCCCCAAATTGATATTTTTCTTTATTCTAATCACTTATCTGGTTGATATTTTATTGATATTGTAAGGAGAAATTGTGTCTTGGTCACCCACAGGAGTTAAAGGATTAATGAAGTGTGACTCAAAATGCTTGTACCTTAAGTCACACCCCTCACTTTCATCCCCTTTTTCAATTAAAAAAATTGCAGCCTATTCCCAGGTAAATATGGTATTTCTCATTGACATAAAAGGCTAAGTTTATAAATTAAATTTTACCTCTTCATTTGGGGGAGGAAACTCTATTTTCCTGTCAATACGTCCTGGTCGCAAAAGTGCTGAATCCAAAATGTCTATCCGGTTTGTTGCCATGACAACCTTGATATTCTTGGTTGCTTCAAACCCATCAAGCTGGTTCAGTAACTCCAACATGGTCCTTTGAACTTCACTGTCACCTGTATCAGGGTTAAATAACTTTGTTAGAGCTAAACAACCCTCACAGCTAACCATAATCAATGATTACAAAGTTCATTTGTCTATAGAGAAGGTAGCAGTATATTGGAAGTAAGGCAAAGCTTAAGTCTGTACTTGAGCTTATTGGCTTACAGAGCTGGAAATTACTCTTGTTTCCAAGTACACTATAACATAGCTAATGAATTTGTCTAATCAAATTCAATTGTGTGAGCATGCTTCATATTCCTAATGTGCACGCTCATGGTGTCAGCAAACAAATCCCTTGAGAAAAAAAAAATTCCACCAGGTTGAAAATGTTATAAAACAATTGGTTCATGTGTCAGCTGTGCATTCATTGAGATATGAAGCACAGCATGTGCTTCATATCTCAATGAACACACGCTGATGTATGAACCAATTGTTAAATGAAGTGACAAGGAGTATCACTATTTCCCCCTAGATGGGATGTCAGTCCATTACATGGGTACCTCCCAGCATTCCATCAGGCCTCACTGACTATTCGTTGGTATCCATTTATACTTGTGGATGGAAAGAGGCAGTGTAAGAGCAAAGACACAATGCATGCCCAAGAACACAACTCATTGACCTACCCAGGTCTTAAAGCTTGACTACTCAACCTGATTTTATTGGAGGTAAAAAACAACCAATTGTGTCAAAATGACAAAACACTTACCACCAGACCCCCCTTCTAATCTTGAGGATCCAATTGAATCAATCTCATCCATAAAAATGATAGAGGGAGCATGTTCTCTGTTGGTTAGAGAAATAGAGTAAAACATATCTGTTTAACAAATAGATTCCACGTTGCTGTGCGTCTGTTAAGTAATAGATCATAGATGACGTCAAAATGTGGTAAGAACAAACAAGTGGCACACAAGGCACAGCTGAGTGTGTCACTGATGTTCTAACCACATTTTGATTTCCTCTGTGATCTCCTACTGAACAGACACATGGCAAATTGGAATCCATTTATTTTATATAATAAGGAATTTAAAAAAGTTTTAATGATGATGTCATCTATATGTCTGTCCTCCAATAGATCATCAGTGAGAACCAATCAGAATGTGTGCATAACTGAGCTTATTATATAAACAACAACAACTAAAAAATACAAAAGAGTTTGAATCTTTTTAACAGCTTTGAACAAGCTTCATGTGTTAGAAATGTTAGGCAAAATATCTGAGAGAGCACATGTTGCTGATGATAAAAATCTACTGCTTGATGTCCTGAATGTTTCTAGACATAATACATATATAGGCAGCCTATTAAATCCTCAACTTGATCGGGAAGAATTACTTCTACTGTAGATCTAAATATACTTTTTAACACAATTTGTTGGAAAAGCAATTTACAAAATTTTTGTAGCTTTGTCTCTAGCAGTGCAAATATCAACAGCCATTTGAAATAATTATCTTTAGCTTAAGCACATTTAGTAAAACTCAAATTAAATTATTATTACTATACCTTGCCATGACAAACAACTCTCTAACCATCCTAGCACCCTCGCCAATAAATTTCTGAACCAGTTCTGAGCCTGAAACTCTGATAAAAGTGCACTCGGTGTGATGTGCAACAGCTCGCGCAAGAAGTGTCTTTCCAGTCCCTGGTGGACCATACAGTAATACTCCCTGGAAAAATTTAATGATATCCACATGTATATTAAAAAAGCTACATTTACACTGTACAGTACTGTCTATCTTCAAGATGTTTTTTTAAATCAATTTCCCTATTTGAAATCTGTGTTGATGTCTTCCATTTTGCTTCTTAACACTTTATTCTTAATAATAGAGACCTTGAGCAGTTCTAATGACAACACAGACTTTCAATACAAAATGAATACAATATCATTACTGGAAAGTTTTGAATGGCTGGATGGGTTTACTATAATTATCTTACAGCACTACACCTCAACTTCTGCACAACATTTGTGAGCAGCATTGAACTCCTAATGGAAACTTAAATAATTTGCTGTCTGCATTTCGGTTCTCAGACCACACAAGTTTTGGTGATTCCGAATTGTTATTTTGCAGAGGACTGCTAAGAAATGCATAAAGTTTTAAAATACATGAACTGAGCTATTATTCTTCCCATTAGATCTTTTGTTTTCGCATGTCCTTGTTGCAGTTGCATCGTGGTTTGGTTAAGGCCCCCAATAATCTAATACTGTAGAGAATTTACATGAAAGGAAGACAGTGTAAAGCATTTTGTCATTTACATGTTGTTTGTGAAACTGCCTTTTTGAAGGTACTGTACTTAAATCTAACCTTGGGTTGATCAATTCCTAAGGCTTCAAAGAGCTCAGGATGCTTCACAGGCAGCTCAATGACCTTGATTTAAAAAGAAACAAAAACAACAAACAACCAGTTAAACAAAAAACAAACAGACCAAATAAAAGATTAAGTCTCTGCCTATAAAATCCTCCAGAATTTCAATTTTCTTCCTCCCAATCAGATGCTATGTACAATCAATTCTTTGAAATAGACATGTGTGTATACAAAACAATCTAGACAAAAAATCAAATATGCATATCTTTTACTCTATTTATCAAACTAACCCTGTACTTCCGTACACAAATGTATAAATAGAGAAGATTCAATACCTCCTTGATTTCTTTAATCTGTTTATCTAATCCTCCAACCATTTCATAGGTTGAATCAGGAACCTTCTCAACCATCATCAAACTGACAAGAGGGTCCACCTAAGTGAGAAAGGAGTTTACAATTGGAGGTTGAGAAAAAAAATTGTCATCCATGTTTTTGCAACACTTATTTGAGATAAAGGATATATCTCATCCCACAGAGCAGTCCAATGTCTGTGCCTGTGTGAACGTTATAATAACTAAGTTACATGCTTTCAGCTTATCAGAACCAAGTTGTTTCGCTCAAGTTACAAACAGTGCTTCACACTAATTTAAAACAAACACTCTGTTCACCTCTTTCAAAAGATCAGTGCATAAAACAAAAACAAAAGATGGCTTTAATGAAGAAACACTATGAGTGGAACACACTGACAAAACTCTTCTCGAAGAGCTTACAAATGCATACAGTAGATGTACACTGTGCACATATTCACCTAAAATCCACAATGAATTTTTTTTGCAAAATACGCACCTTGTTAGGAAGTATCTTATGAAGCATGTAGCTATCATTTCGCAATGCCACTCGGCAGTTTGGTGTAACCTACAAAACAAGAAGTACAGGGTTTGCTGTGATCATAAAATAAAGAAGATAATGTCGTAATTTTGTACCAGGTTTCCTGTCTCCATTGGGAGACTCATTTCCAGACCATAAAGGGTACAAAGTAAAGCCAGGTAAGGGGTTTCATACAGTGTAACTAAGCATGTACCTTTCTCCTCTGAAAATAAAACAAAATCTTTATGGATACAATCTACACAACTGTACAACATCATCACATACATCAGCCATATCAATTGATTTGTCGATATCCACCACAAACTTTCCCTCTGGATGAACCTGTGAAAAGCAAAGGATAATGTAAATAATTTCAGCGCATTTGCAGTGAGCTGTGAGCTCCTCTGTAAAGTCACTCTCTGCCAATCATAAGCACATCCACCTTAAACTCCCATCAAAAGAACACAATCCACATATAAAAATTTAACCCTTTGACTCTCATCAATGACCAAGATACAATTTCTCCTTACAATAGCTATACAATACCAAGCAGTGACGAGAAGATAAAAATATATATCAGGGGATTAGTGTTTGATCCAATATAAAATTCTCCAAACTAGCATCATAAAATTGTACAGCACAGTAAGAAGTTACTAATGAGATCTTAGGAGTAAAAGGGTCAAGAGATACTCCAAGTGCCCCTTCAATTTTTATCTCAAATCGGTCTTCAGATGTATTGTCTATTAACAAATCATCCTTACATTTCATTCAAAGACACTAACCTTCACCAAAACCTTCTTCTTGTCCATGGGTTTAACCACCTCACCAACATAAGATCCTTGTTCTTGCAAGAGTTGCAACTCCTCTCTTAGCATTCTCACTAAAATGTGGATGTTCAAGAAAACAAAGCCCATTTTTCACTTCAATATAAATGGTTCAATATTTTTTCTGGTATTTCTCATGGGACAAAATGGCAAAAAGTGATTTTACAATTCAAAATAGTGCACAAAATAATGTTACAAAAAAAGATTATGGTATGTTTTTGCATGTACTGCTGTAGTTGAATTTTTTTTAATGGTACCATCTCAACACTCAGTCACTTGAGATATGACAACTCCAAGCTACATGTGTCCTCAAAATTTCAACTAATTGATCAAGGCACATTGCACTTTACTTGCTCTGAAGAAATAGTCTTCTAGTCTCTGTAGAGGGTATTCCTTTTTAAGGGGTTGATGATCATTGCTAGAAAAAACAAGTTTCAAGTCAAATTAATAAGAGAATTCACACCAACCTTTGGCATTAAGCTCATTTCTCTGGGCTTCCAGCCTCCTCAAGTTTTTAATCTCTTCTGTGACAACCATCTGGAATAAATTTGTATTTAGTTGCCACAAATGCCATTAAGTGAGTGGTGTACATGTACTCTACAAAGTTAACCCTTTACACTCTGTCAGAATACACATTCACCATACTGTTCTCTATAGATTCCCTATGGTGCTAACCAAGAGAATTTGTTTAACAATCAAGAGCCTCTTTAGTTGGTGATCATTGCCTTTATTATCCTGACCTTATTGTGTGATTCAGGGGTGATATTGTGAGGAGAAATTTGACACTAGTCACTCTTAGGGATCAATGGGTTAATAATGACACAACTTTACATTTCATAACAAAATATAAAGGGTTGGAGCTACATGTAAATGCAAGTTTGCATTAATTTTTGTCACACAGATCTGCCTGCAGGAAAAATTTTCCTTCAAGAAAAGGATTGAGTGGCTCACACTGCCAAGTTCACAATTAAAATATTCCTAAGTAGGTTCCCCAGATCAACAAATGTAGTTAGTGACATCAAAGAAGCTTACCACATTTGACTGCAAAATCAGACTAATGCTCGAATCCCAATACAAATAGGTAACTCAGATGTTTTCCATAGTCAAAGTTCATAACAATCTTTCTATAATCAACAACCATGCTCTAAATTAACTATCTTTGGTACTCTATCTATATGTACAACAGTGTACTTTACCTGGAGAGCCTCAATCTTGGTGACATAGTATTGCTGAATTCCTTCATGCTGTTTTTCTTCTTCCACTTCCATCTACATAAATCAAATAGTGGAGACAATTTAAAAACTTAACATATTTTGAAACATGTAAGTCCTGCATCTGAGTGTATTAAATGCATATGCATAGTTAATGTACATCTAAAGGGTACAGTATACAAGTGTACATTAGATCTAACACATGGCCAACATAAATCTTATGCCATTTGATTTAACCCACAAAGAAGTTTGTGGGCATTCACTTATTTACATAGAATTTCTAAAGATTATAACAGAACATTCAGACACACAGGAAAGAGTTTTTTAGCCTGTTGACAATCATGTCCAGATATTACCCAAATAAATTCAACAAGTTTGATAATGGTTGTCCTGGATTTTTAGAAATTCAGTTCTGCTCATTGAGTTTTTCGATATCAGCGGTGAAGAAAGAAATTTCAGCACTGGTGATTTTTTCCCCAACAATTGAAGGACTATGGTTATTTTAATACCATCTATGTTTTTTTAGGGGCTGGTGAATGCAGAAATTCCTTCTTGACTATTACATAATGAAGCATAACAGGACAACATTCCTAGCAAGCAAAGACTGATAGTGTCAACACCAAATTCTGACCACGCATTTTCTCTTGACTCAACATTATTTCTGGCTCTGTACAATAGTCATTAAGGAACTCAAGGACAGCAATGACATTCTTCCAACTTGGTAAGGGTTGTCACTTGTTGGTTTTATAGAGAGGATAAGAGAGGTTATCTCCTATTCTTAGAAAAATAGTAGATATGCACTATAGAATATTTCTTCTTTCCAGTCAATGATAGTAGATGTCACTGTATGCCCTCTGATTAAGATATGCTTCAATGAGCAGTTAGTATAATATTTGCTGTAGATTATGCTGATAATGTGCCCTTAATTTTAATTCTAATGAGTATAAATCATGATTTTCTTTTCTTTCTTTTTTCTGATTATATCTCAAACATAAAACCCTCAGCTCCTGTGGTCACTGTGCACATCCTCTCTAGATTTTCCATTTATTTGTATTTGAATAATATTTAAATAATACTTAGTACGTTTCTGTGATTATATATACTGTACATGCTAGATGAATTCATCTGAATAGTGCACATAAGTTGAAGTTGAAGTTGAATTGTTGAAGTCTGCACACAACTTAAAATAGAAAAATATTTGAACAGTAACCTTTTGGTGATCTCTCCTAATATCACAATTGAAAAAATATACCATAGGCAGATGTTGGTCATAGTTTTGAAGTTTACAGACCTGACATGCATACTAATAAGATAGGAAAAGTTTTATCTATTTGATTTGAAAAATGTATAAGACGGGTAATTTTTAAAGATTGACTTAACCCTTTAATGCAATAACCCTTCAACTCCCAAGATCTAATTGTTAATCTCCCCTCTAGCTTCTACATAATTATTTCCTTTGTAAGTAGTTACATGTATGAGAATTTGGTGCTGATCAAGATAACCTTTTACCTGATAAGTTTCAGTATTCTCATTACTTGTTTCATGGATAACGTATGAATATCACTTGAAGAAGTTAAACATTTATCATTAAAGGTAATAGATTTGTTTTGGGCACAAGTTTCTTTTTAAGATCTTGTAGTCAAGTGCTAACTAAAAACAACTTTTAGTTGTCATAGTTTAGTCCTGCCGGGAGAAACACCACATATAATCTATTCAACTTATTGACATTAACATAGATGAAACACTACAGAAAGAGCTTTTCAGCATCAAACAAATTGAAATGAAAAGATTTCTGAAGAATGAATAAATATTCGCTGTAAATTATTACCCATTCTTAGGAGTGTTTTCTAGAAATATACAAAAAAATCATGCTTCAAACTGAGAAGAAACTCTAATAAAAACTGATCTTAAATTGATGATACTCAAAGATTAAATTAGACACTTCAAGAAGGGAGAGAGACGACAATCGATGGAATAATTAACTAAGACGAAATGAAAGAACGCTATCACAAATCCGTAAATATACTTAAGTGACTGTAAGTGACTACGATCACTGGCGCATGATTCAAGTTGTTCCAAGCGTCAATTTTACTATTAGTCCGACTTTAAAACTTCCAAAAATTTCACGTTTTTTCTAAGTTTTCAACGTAAGGATAGACAAAAAGCTGCCTACCTTGTATCAAGTGACTGAATTTTTACAGTATTTTGCATCAACAAACTTGGAAATCACACGTTGAGACGAAAGATTAAGTAATAAATAAATTACAATTAGCTTTTTTCGTTTTAAAGTGTAGCGTGCAGCTTGAATCTTAACAAAAAACGGTTTGTAAAAAGTCATAGCTTTCGATCAAAAGATGTCGTCATGTAAAACCACATGATCGACTTTTCGTGTTTTTCACGAAGCAGTGTCTCGATGTTTTATCACTATAACTTCTCTTACCTCATCTGGCTGAATTTTCTGTACTCTACGAGCAGGTTCTTCTTTCTTAACGGTGCTTCTCGTGCTGGGTAAATGCATTACAGCCGTTCCGGCCGCCATGTTGGAATGACTTTGAGAAAAAATCGAAATGGACCATCATGCAAAGCGCGGAGGGATTAGATCATAAATGAGCAATGCATTCTGGGACAATTATAGTTACCAGTTCTTTTCTTCCAGAGGGAAAAAATAGGGATTAGAGTAAGTGGCCTTGTTCGACCTGCATCGTCTGAGAATCAGGCCGAATGAGTTTCGGCGCATGCTCAAATTAGATATTTCCACCCTTCATGCTCTGTTCCGAGTTGTATGAGCAATCGTGGAGATCAAGTTGTAATAAGTAGAGATATCCGATCATCAGTGTGCTTTCGTGGAGCCCGTCCAATTGTGCTCGGCAACTTTTGAGCCACTTTTGGCGTTTGGAGCAACTTTTTGCAGTTCTAACAACCTTGAGCAATTTTTGCCTATGTGGGCAATTTTTTTTTAGCAACTTTTTGGTTTAAAGCAGACGCCAAGCATGATAAAATCAACGATTTCACGAAAAACTTCAATTTATGAAAATTTGTTGAATGGCTTGCAGGCCTTCCATCTTATATTAGAGCGGATAATCGGCTGAAACGACGCGCAAAAATGGCTGTCTTCGTTTATGTACTTTCCATGAACGGAAATGGATGGTTAGAAGCCACCTTCCTTTATGAGCAACACTCGAAAGCTAAATTTATTAGCGAAGAACGAAAAACATAACTTTTAATTAACATAAAAAATAAAAAAAAATCGAAACATTCAGGAGTCAACTTTCGAAATTTAATTAGCAACTTTTTGGATTTTTGGTATTTTTTCAGCAATTTTATGGCATTTCAGCCGGCAACTTTCTAGCATTTTACGAGCACAATCGGGCAAGCCTGGGGAGGGGGGGGGGGGTGGGGAAGGGATGAGGGCTGATCCTGTCTCAAGTTAACGCACGAATCTTTGAAAAATTTACGCGTCACGTCATTAGAAGGGAAAACTTAAAATCGCTCGTCTTATTATTCATTCAGGATATTATTCATCTGCTGTCTTTTTGCCCCAAAACCACGCAATTTGCATATAACGGCACCTACTATTAACAAGTTTTTGGTACAGCTATGCTGTCATTGCCAACATAGTAATGGAGGACGTGGAACAAAAGGCCTTAGCCACTTTACCGGTTAAACCCTTTTTCTGGAAACGATATGTCCATGATGTTATTTCTGCGGTATTTAGAAATGAAGTGGAGCGCCTCCTATCGCGTTTGAATTCAGTCGAGCCGTCTATCCAATTCACCCTTGAGCGTGAAAAGGATAGACATTTGCCCTTTCTTGATTTAAATGTGTCCAGAGGGGTTCAAGGGTAATTTAGAGACAAGTGTCTACCATAAACCTACCCACACCGATAAATACCCCGCTTTCGATTCTCACCACCCTATTTGCCATAAAAATTCTGCAGCCAAAACTTTACTCAGGAGGGCTGACTGTCCACCATCTTCACTCGATTCGAAGGCTGAGGAGAGGAAATATGTTTCTAACGTCCTATGGGCAAACGGCTATACAAAAACCTTTCTCTATAACTGCCAAAAACCAGTTACAACTAATAGCAATCCTGATGAAAGGGAACCAGCGACTGGTTTTGGTGTTATTCCTTACATTCAGGGTGTTACGGAACCCATCAAGAGAATTTTGAATAGCCACAACGTTAAAGTTGCTCAAAAACCTTTTCAGACTTTGGGGCATATTTTCGCCAAACCTGAGGATCCTGTCACGAAAGAACAACGAACCGACACCATTTATTCTATTCCGTGCAATGACTGTGACAACGAATACATCGGACAGACCAAACATCAGTTTGGCACGCGTTTGAAAGAGCATCAAAAAGCGGTTTTATTTTGCAAAAAGGAAAATTCAGCTTTATCGGAGCACACATGCCTAACTAACCATACAATTGGGTGGGACAATTCCAAAATTATCACAACTAATCAGCGTTACCACCAGCGCCTTTGTTTGGAAGCTTGGCATATTAACTCCGCTCACGCTCCTTTAAATCGTGACGATGGCGGCTTACTTTCTGACGCCTATTTACACCTCGTTAGAACAAGGCAGCTAATTAGTGATCATATAAAAGGACCTCTTGTTGCAACGTTTAGATCACCCCTGCAGAAAGCACTAGACAGGAGTGTCGAAACGTTGGGTCTATGAAATGTAATTTCTTCCGTTACACTCATTGAATCTGTAAACCAGAGTAGCATCAAACCATGTCTCTCTTCTTTGTTTCGGGGATATCTTGAAGTTTTTAAGAAAAGAAAGGAAAAAATTAACGGGTAACGTTGTTCACGTGTATTTCAGCCTTTTTCGGGAGGCAAATCACCTCTTACGTTGGTTCATAAATTTATGAATTCACGCATCACATATCAATTTTGGCCTTTATCGCGCGTCTAGGATAAACCCTTTCCCAACCTCTGCCTCCCTCGGGGGATCAGGTATATTTTTTGGTGACATAACCAAAATCCTCCAAACCCTCTGCAGAAGGAGATAAATAATGACCTGTCTCTTTGTGGCGTAGATAGAGTTTTAGGCTTTTGGATTAAATTAATCATGCTTTAGGTATCTTAAATAATTTGGGCTCGTGTTTTTTCTTTAATTTGTATTTTGCAAACCAATTTGATCATTCCGCCATTCTGGTACTCTCACGGCTTATTATTTCTTCGTTTGTTTTTTTTTCATTCCGATCTAACATTATATTTGATGGTCTCTTCAGTTCAAGGTGAAGGTAATTAAAGACGTTGTCAAAACCGAAATAAAATATCGTTGCGTAACTACCTCTAAAAAACAATTCTAATTTTATTTGATGCTAGCGCTTTTACAATATACACAGATTCTACAGTGTTCGTACTGATATCACGTAGTAAGGCAGTGTGGTTTCCAAAATATTCAGCTTTATATCACAGTTATCAAAGGAAGAGGACCGCAGATGCTATTGCTTTGCCAAAGATATTACCCACGCAGGCTTTTGTAGGAAATATCTTTTTAACTCCCCCGTCTTCGGCTCGCGATTTACAACTTTCCTTGTGCTCAATCAACATCGCAAATAGGTTGTTACGCCCCTTACCTGGTAGAAAGGGCGGTCTTTTGCTCCAATTAAGTGATTTGGGGTTTATCGATAAAATGAACGATAGGTTTTTGACCAATCAGAGCATTCCGGTGTCTAAGTTATTTTATAAAAACATATATAACTTCAGAGAAGATTTGTTGCGTTCTCCGACACCGAAAACATCGCAGTGGCCACCGAAGTGGCAGAGACAGGTGAGACCGACCCTGATTATTTTATCTCGAAAGGCAATCGAGTTCGTAAGTACAGTAGAACACCGCTAACTCAAACTCTCAAGGGAAACAAACAAACAAGAAATGGCTCGAGTTTGGGGGGTTCGAGTTAACTGATGGCAAATATTAATTACTGAAAAAATTGAGCAGTGGGAAATTAGATCTTGTTCGAGTTACCGGCGGGGTACTCGAGGTAATCGCGTTCGAGATAGCGGGGTTCGGCTGTAATTCTAAAATCTTGAGCTAAACTAGGATAACTATAGATAAGCAGATAATTTCTGAAAAAGGGGACTGAGGTAACACCAATTTTTCATAAGCTTTTGTTCCATTTTTTCGCACATGATTTTGTTTCAACCCTCTAAAGCCCATTCTTTAAGACATACAAACCTCTTTATTGACTTGATAAAAGTAAGCGTTTTTGCTAATTTATACTCAAAGCGGGCAGACTAGATATCGAATACTGTTCTGGATGTTTTGTCTCTTAAGAAATAATCGAACAACTTAACACCGGTCCACATTGTCATTTCACAGCTGAATATATTTTTTTGCAAACATCTCAACTGTTCGACTCTTAACTTGATATCCTTCTTTTCGCTCTAACGAAGGGCTAACGCTCGAAACTTCAACTTTACAAACTCTTTAAGGTGGCCAATTTACATTGTCAACTCAGATGAATAAACCTAATCATCTTCTAAAACTCCCAAGCGACGCAGCACCACAGTTTTTTACAAACTTACCCCCTTTATTCATGATATCCCATATGCCACGCTCCAAGTCACGTTTGCGTCAGCAAGAAGTTTGAAAAATCAACAAAGAAATCTGAATGTTGGATTGCTTGGCTTTCGTCATGAAATTACTGAGACAAACAGTGAAACAATACTGTTAACATGTTTGTTAGTTTTTGTGGTTTAAGTACTCTTTTGGAATTGTGCATAAATCACAGATTAAGTCTATATCAGAGCTGCAAATAAATAATTACAAAGAGCCGGTCACTTACAAAACCTTTGTACAGCGATATGGAACAACTTGCTGGTCGACGACTTTAAGATTTGTAGAGCGGGACAGCCTTATTAGAAAGGCCCTCTCTGATAAGGCTGTCCCGCTCTACAAATCTTAAAAAAATCAAAATACAAAATTCGGAATTTTTCATTGTTCCTTTTTCACAACAAAAACACTTTGAACTAGTGGGTCTTTATATGAAGAGGTTCTATATGAAACACATATTGGTCTGATGTAAATTTAGTGAATTCCAAAGTACATCAGGTGTTTTTAACCGATGTTCTGTTTTTGTCCTTTCAACTGAAAACGTGTGTGCCGGAAATAATATTTTGGCTTCAGACACTGTGAGACGGAAATTTTTTTTGAATGTCTGTTAAGTTAAGAAAAACATGAAACTGTTGCGTCAAGAACACGGTTGTATGTCTTATTGTTGTTTTGTCGGGGCGGTCCCACAAAGCAAAATAAGACATAATCATGGCAAGTCACTAAAAAATATTTCCCGTTGTTGTTTTTACTTGAACTTAATAATCAAAACAGTAGCACATTTATGGACCAGAAAATCGCGAAAATGCCTCGAAAATACTTCAATCCGTTTACCTCAGTAAGTAACCAGCTAAGCTGACTTTAAAAATGTCATATTTTCGACTTGTTTTTAATCTATCCTTATTAATAGTGTAAGTGCATCAGATAGTCGATCCAAACCGTGAATGGGAAAGATTACATAATCAGAGAAAAATTTTTGTTAAAATATTT